TGATAGTGTTAGTAAGTTAGATACTCAGTTGTTAGGGAGAAATAGAATCGGTGGGGAAATTCGCACCAAGGAGGCATGGTATGCTTGAGTTTATTCAAAGGTTTCAATACATGGAGTTAACTAATTGAAATGAATAAATAGATAGCTTCTTTCTGTACCCACAAAAGCAAAAAGACAGTTTCTTTTCTTTCAGATTTTGTACTAATAAGGTCCTGCATTTGGTGTAATTTTCTTAGCATATATATATTTTTTTTGCCCATTATTTTCACACTTTTTTCTCAACCCACTTGGGATTTCACAGATGATAGTTGACGTAGGACCATAATTTTCCAGGGCTGGAGTAAGGATGATTTAAATACAGTTACCTTAAAAGTTCGGTTATGATTTTCTAGAAAGCCTACTAGGCTCGTTGGCATAAAGGCACACATTGTAGACCTCAAAGAAGCTGTTACCCATTTTGAAGAATTGGCTGCCTGAAAGACGAAGGTGATTGATCTGACATTTGAGGAGTCATTTCAAAGCCATATCCCAAAGAAACATTCTGGAAAATCCTGGAGACTTCTTGGTCTCCACCTTGTCCAATGCTCGAGGGGAATAAGCATCATCTGAGGTGAACTGTATATATGGTGAGCAAGAATATCTGGGAAACACCCGGAAAGAAAGGAAGGCAGCTTGCAAGAAACCAAGAATAGTGGTTGTCGTCAACAAACCATTGGCGGTCACTTCTAATATACTGATGTTTCAGATCATGATTTGGAAGACGTCCACTCACCTCATAATGATGCCTTCATCATCAAGGTCCAAATCTCCAAAGCCTTGGTAAGTTGCTTCCTGGTCAATAACTGCTTAGGAGTCAGCGTCCAATTCAAGGATGCCGCAAAAAAGATGGGAATTCTCAACAGCATCAACAAAAAGAAAGTAACCCTTCACTCCTTCAATGGGGCATTAGTGCGATCTCTGTGAACAGTGAAACTAACGATCTAAGTAGAATGCTATAATCACCTAGTGACTTTCCACGTAATGGATTGCCCAACTCCCATAACGCCATCATTGATCGAAAATGGTTATATAAGATGAAGGTTGTTTCATCAAAGTATCACTAATTACACCACTAACTAGCTCCCGGAGGAGTAAAAGAAATAAAGGGAGATTAATCAGCGACACGTTACTGTAATGTTGAAAGCATGAACATGATCAGGAAAGAAGAACAAAGCTCCAGAACCTTCTTGGATGAATCAGCATAGCAATTATAGTCGGGGGGGGTCAATAGATGAGTTATAAGGAATTTGACCTGGATCTTGACCTTCAAGACGACGGTACACCGGAGTTAAAAGTCTACGAGGACGCCATGTACATTAGCCTCAATCCTGACAGATTGGAATGGAAAGCCAAGATCCGTTAAAGCTGACCAATCGAGAAAAAGAACGATTCACCAACTTCTTGTGAGCTAACATTTATATCTTCGCATGGTTAGCAAATGACATGCCTGGAATCGATTCCTTTGTGATCTACCACCGTCTCTACCTGGATCCAATTGTCAGACCAATTATCCAGCATAAACAGAACCACAAAACAGAGTGCAGTAAGATTATAGAGGTAGAAATAAACAAACTCAAGGACGCCCAGTTCATCGTTGAAGTCCACCATCTGGACTGGTTGACAAACATTGTGCTAGTGCAAAAGAAGAATGGGAAGTGGAGATTATATGTGGACTTTATGGACTTGAACAAAGCTTGCCCAAATGATCCATATCCACTCATATGGATCGATTTGTTCGTAGATTCAACCGCGAGACTCGAACTCTTGAGCTTCATAGATACTTACTCTGAATACAACCAGATAAAGATGTACGAGCCAGACATGGAAACAACATCATTTGTCATTGATCGAGGAACATACTTCTATAAAGTTATGCCCTTCGAACCAAAAAACGCGGGGGCACCATATTAACGACTTGTCAACTGAATCTTTAAGGAGAAGATCAGAGACACAATGAAGGTCTACGTGGACATTATGGTTATCAAGAGAAAAAAGAAGAAGGACTACTTAACACATCTCCAAGAGTCATTTGATCTACTCCAGAAGTACAGAACGAAACTGAATCCAGAAAAATGTACCTTTGAAGTAGCGTCAGGTAAATTCTTGGGTTATATGGTTACTAAGCGGGAATTAAGGCTAACCCGAATCAGATCAAGGCCATCATAGGAATGAGATCGCCTAGAACCATGAAATAAACACATAGCTTGACAAGAAGAGTGGCAGCTCTAAGCAGATTCCTTTCACGATTTACCGACAATTACAAACCTTTCTTTATGGCAATAAAGAAGAGCAAATGGCTACTCTGGACAGATGAATGTGAAGAGGCATTCACCAAACTGAAAGAATACCTTTCCAAACCTCTGCTGCTATACAAACCAATTGACGGAGAAGACTTGTACTTGTACTTGGCTGTATCTAACTGTGCAGTAAGCGCAGTTGTGATTCGAGAAGACTCGGGGGAGTAGAAACCGGTATACTACATATCAAAGCAAAACACGAGGTAGAACACGAGGCCCTCATGGCAGGACTCAGAGTTGTGAAAGAACTCCAGGTAAAAGAACTACTAATTCATTGTGATTTAATGCTCATAGTTAATTAGGTCATAGGGGATTGCCCCACCCATCATCTTACTATAGGGCTTTACCTAAGCAAAGTCAAAATTCTACTCGAGAAGTTTGAAAAGTAAGAAATCATATAGATCCCTATAGGAAAGAATAGTCACGTTAACACACTCGTCGGGATAACTTCAAATGTAGATTGTTCATTCGATGGACAATTCCCTTTGAATATCTAGAAGCCTTTAGTATCCACGAAATGAAGCCCGAAGTGGTATCCGTCATCGACACTTAAGAAAATTGGATGGACGAAATCACCAACTACATAGGGGATTGGAAATTCCCAGAGGACCACAACCTGGCCAAAAAGCTAATCCAAAAGGCATCAACATATATAGTCATTCGTGAAAAGCTCTATTGGCGTTCTTACTCCATACCTCATACCTTGTATGTCACACCAGAGGTTGACCTACAAATTCTAAATGACATTAACTCCAGAATCTGTTGCAATCATGTCGGAGGAAGATGATTGGCCCATAAAGCAATGACCATAGGCTACTGTTGGCCCATCATGTGGCAATATGCAATTAGCTGCACCCAGAGTTAAGACAAATGTCAAAGGTACGCTTCTATGACGGGTTCATAGCCTTTTATACTCTGATGGGTTCATGGCCGTTCATGCAATGTCATTGATTTAGTAGGACCCTTTAAGAATGCCTTGGGAAATAAGCAATACCTGATAGTGGCAATAGACTATTTTTCGAAATGGATTGAAGTGAAACCTTTAAGAAGAATCACAGCTGCAGTTATCAAATATTTTGTTTGGAAAAACATCATCTGCCAAATTCCCCACACAATACTAATAGACAACGGGCTATAGTTCATCAGCTCTGAAGTTATGGAATGGTACAAAGAGCTTGGGATCTGTCACCTCACTTCCACTCCGAGATATCCACAAGGTAATGGACAGGTAGAAGCCTCGAACAAAACCATTTTGCAATGTTTGAAGAAAAGCTGTTATCCATGGCCTATGGAGCTAAAGTCGTCATCCCAGTTCAAATCACAACTATGCCAAATTTGCATACCAAAGAGTGGACCGTCTTAGAAAATGCGGGAATTCTGAAGACCAAACTCTTATGGAGGAGAGTCAAGAATGCGCTCAAGTCTGACTAGCTGCCTACCAACAGCAAATCCGGATGTGTTACAACAAAGGCGTCAAGCTAAGAAATCTACAAGCTGGAGACTTAGTCCTGAAAGAAGTTTTCAAGAATACAACAATTCCAGGAGAAAGCAAACTTGGAGCGAATTGGGAAGGACCGTACAAAGTCTCAGGAATAGAAGGCAACATAACCTATCACTTAGAGCACATGGATGTTACCCCGATCACCAAGAAATGAAACATTGCCAAGCTCAAAATATATTATCCATAGTCGCACCACACGAACTATAAGCGGTTTGTTTCCCTTCTCGGGATATGTAGGCAGTCATCTATGGACCCAATAACAACGTCGCCCTTTGCAAGTCTACGGATAACTCATCTCCTCACGCCCTACCATAGGCTTATCGTCAAAAGTGATCCTTGGTGTAATTCTTACATCATATCATTTTTTTCTTAGAACTGCACTTGTGATTTGATTCTCTGTCTCGAAGATATGTAGGCAATCTATAAAATTATCAGAGAGACGGGCCAAGGGCCCACTTCCAACAACACCAATATTGTTCCCAACTTGGTAATTACCACCTGCACCATTTGTTAGGTGTGGGGTTTTTATCACAAAATGCCTTGGTATTAGTTGGAGTGGGGTTATGATATTTAAACTCTTTTTTTTTCACAGAGATATGATCAATGTGAGATATTTTAACACGTCCCCTCACGTGGAACCCAATTAGTGGGTCACACATGGGAGATCCACGCATTGATAACCATGTGGAGCCAAGGGGACTCATACTACAAGCGGGGCAAGGGACCCACTATCATCACGTGGGGCTAAGGGGACCCACGTATCAATTGGTAGTACGGGCCCGCTCCCTAGTTCTGATACCATGTAGAATTATTAGAGAGACAAACTAAGGGCCCATTTCTTACAACACCGATATTGTCCCCAACTTGGTAATTACCACCTGCACAATCTATCAGGTGTGGGGGCTTTATCACAAAATGCCTCAATATTAGTTGGAGTGAGGTTAGGATATTTAAACTTTTCTTTTCACATAGATATGGTCGATGTGGGATATTTTAACATTTTTGGATTCAATCACACCTCTTATCAATTTAATTTTTCTTTAAATCATGAATAAGGAAAAGCCGTATGTCTTGAATATCTGATGTTTCTTTTCTTTGTGATGCAAGAGAGTACCCTACTTATTCCAAACAGGGCACTAACTTTGAAAAATTTCACACTAATGCAAGTCTAAAAAAGTTCAAAGTAACACAGTCAAAGGAGTTTTCCTTAGCCTAGTCTGTTTTGAACCGTTAGCAGTCTGTAAACTATATTTAGAGCCAGATTTTGTACTAATAAGGTCCCCCGTTTGGTGTAATTTTGTTGGCATACTTTTTTTTGCCATTATTTTCATACTTTTTTGTCAGCTTAATTGATATTTCACAACTGACTGTTGAGAAAGAGGTTCTTTTAATAATTGTATAGATAATACTATTGACCATGACAGTTAAGACAGTTAAGAGGTTGCTGATGTGGCAATTATGTGGCAATTAGTTAGAACTGTCATGGCAATTAGTTAGAGTTGTTAAACTACTTTCTTAGAGTGTAAGAAAGGCTCTGGGGCTCTATATAAAGTGTGTAAGGATTCATTGTAATCATCTTGAGGAATATACAATCTTTCATAAGCTTTCTTTCTCTTCTCAGCTCATATCTCTCTCTTTCTCTCTCTTCTCAGTGTTTTTGTGCAAGAATTGCTGCTACTTCAGGTTCTTGATCTTCAATTCTTACAAGTGCACACAATCTGTTTGATTAAATGCATAAGTATGAAAATGGGTATTAATCTGTCAAGAAATGAGGTCAATGCCATCTTTGATATAGTTTGTGAGGGATTTTAAGGACGATATCCATTCCTTCTTCGAAAATATTTGATGATATACTTAGAAAGGCTGATAGCCATTGAGTGATTTGTTCTCATTGTCAGTAAGGCTAATAGCAATTCAGTGATTGATCTGTTTCTTGGATCTAAGTAGTTTGCTCATTTCAGTCACTAATTTCTTGATCGAATTTTGTACCTAGGTTATTAATATTATGGCAGGCTCTTCTATTAAGATTGAGGGTTTACTAGGGATTCCTACAGTGAAGTTACATGATGAGAATTTTGTAAAAGGTGCTTAAGGGTTACGCTTTGTTTGACTTTTTCACTGGCGATTCATCATGTCCTCTTAAGTTTATCATCAATACAGACACTGGTGTCATGAAAGAAATTACAGTGTCATATAAAGATAGGGTAAAGAAAGATTTGGCAACAAAAATTACAAGTCTAGAATTTCACCAAAATGTCAGATTTGCTCAAGGAGAGGGCACACTGCACCCAATTGTTATTACAGAATTGATAATGGTCCTACAGTAGGCTTTGTTGTTTGTCAGATTTGTTAGAAAATGGGACACATAGCACTTGAGTGTTATCATAGGAACACTTCTCATATCAAGGTAATCAATCCATCACACATCTCTCTCACTGCAATGACTGCACAAGCTCATATTAGTCCATAGAATGTTCCAGTTCATAATGATAATGAATTCTCAAATAGTGAAGCACGGATTATGGACACATGGGCCACACATCATATGGCAGCCAATGTTAATGCTTTATCCAATGTTAATCCTTACAATGGAGATGAGAAGATAATTATTGGCAATGGTGAAGGTATGACAATGAAAAATATTGGTTTTATATAATGTTTTACATGTGCCTCAAATAAGTGTGAATCTTCTATCTGTCAAGAAACTATGCAAAGATAATGGTTGTTGGTTTATGTGTAATGATGTTATACAGGACAAAGCATCAAGGGTGATTTTGTACCAAGGAATGAGTGATGGTGGGGAACTTTTCAAGATTTTAGTAAATGTGCTTGCCAATTCATTTGCTTCAAGGCTAAGTAGGTGTGCTGCATTATTGGGGAAGAAAATACATACTACTGTTTGGCATCAAAGGCTAGGACATCCATCTAAGGAGGTGTTGGCTGTAATGTTAAAAGATTTAAACATCTCGGTTAATAAAGATTCCTGTCAGCTTGTTTGTTCTTGTATTCAAGGGAAAATGACTAGGCAAGTAATTTCCTGTTAGACAAAATAGAGCTAGTTATATGTTTGAAAAGATACATTATAATGTATGGGGACCAACTCCAAAACAATCTGTAGAAGGATATAGATATTACATAAGCTTTGTAGATGAACTCTCAAGATTCGTGTGGATATTTCTAATGGTTAATAAATTCTTTGTGAGATTCTGTGCATTTATCTTAAATCAGTTCAATGCTTCCATCAAGTATTTTCAATCTGATGGTGGAGGTGAATATAAGAGTATAAAGTTCAAAGAGTTTTTGGCAAGCAAAGGAATTATACAAATGATTTCTTACCCCTACACTCCTCAGCAAAATGAAACATAGACATGTAGTGAAGACTGCAATCACATTGAAGGCATAAGCCAATTTACCTCAAATGTTTTGGCATCATGCTGGCTCTCATACTACCTGGCTAATTAACAGAATGCCATGCAAGAATTTGAGTTTCAAGTCTCCATATTAGCTAGTATTTGGAAAAATTCCTAATGTGCGTAACTTCAGTGTGTTTGGAACTGCTATATGTCCTCTTTTAAGGCCATACAATGTTAATAAATTGCAGCCAAGATCCACTCACTCTATATTTCTTGGATATGCATTAGGTACAAAGAAGCAATTTGTTATGATTTACAGAATAAAAAGTTGATATTGTCCTGACATGTTATACATGATGAAGATGTTTTTCCATGCAAAAAATCTATTTGTCAAGAATCTAAAGTATCTTGAGTATTACACAGTACAAGACAAAGTCCAATTGTTATACGGTTGCCAATTCCTACTATCAGTTCTTATATAGAGTTATCAAATAGTTTATCACATCAGGAATCATACTCAGAATCAAAATCAAATACTCAAGCTCAGCATTAGTCACATACAAGTACAATATTAGATACATAAGTGTAGTTAAGTTCTGATAATGGTCTCAATTAATCAAATCTACAAAATTCATCTTCAACTTCAAATCCCCATCACCATCATTCTATTCTAGCAACAAATTGTTCACCTTTGATGCCTGTCCACCACAATTCGCCACTTGAGGTAATTCTTCCTCTATCACCAGAATCAAGTATCCATTATGAGATTATGTACCTATATCAGATTCAGTTTCTCAGCATACAATGATAACAAGGTTGAAAAGTGAAGCAATGGAAAAGAATAATTATGCAGCATTTCTTGCAACATTCCGTGAGCTGCAATCATTACAACTTACTGAAGATGAGCCAATCTTTGGTGGTTACTCTTATGTAACTGATATCACTGATGCTATAGAACCATCTAGCTTTAGAAAAGTTGCAAGTGTGCCACAGTGGCAAAATGTTACGCAAGAGGAAATGATTCACTTAAAGCACAAGGTACTTGGATTTTGGTTCCACCACCTAGTGACAAGTCTATTGTTTGCAATAAATGGGTGTATAAGGTGAAGAAGAATCCTGATGGTAGCATTTCAAGATACAAAGCTAGGCTAGTGGCTCATGGATTTTCTCAGGAACGTGGAGTAGGCTACTCTGATACATTTAGTCCAATGGTTAGACATAAAATAGTGAGAATGATACTTGATGTTGTTGCAATGAACCATTGGGAACTGAAACAATGGGATATTAAAAATGAATTTTTACATGGAGATTTGCATGAAGAAGTTTATATGAAGCAGCCACAAGGCTTTGTTGATCCTACATGCCTTAATCATATTTGCAAACTCATAAAGTTACTTTATAGACTTAAACAGGCACCAAGGGCTTGGAATTCAAAATTTACAAGTTATCTGTGTGCTATGGATTTAACACTTCTACGTCAAATACAAGCTTGTTTATGAAGAAAGATGACACAGATATTGTCATACTACTTATGTACGTAAATGATATCATCTTAACAGGCTCAAATCCTACAAAGGTACATCAGATTGTCAAGGACTTAGCTAAGGTATTTGACTTGAAGGATCTTGGTAAACTTACCTATTTCTTGGGACTCCAAATTTAGTATCAGTCAAATGGTGTTATTTTGGTGAATCAGTCAAAGTACAATAATGATCTTACACATAAGGCATGCATGGCGTCTTGTAAGCCTGCTTCTACACCCTGTAAGCCTCACAATTCTTTACTGAAAATAGAAGGAATACCTCTGAGTGATCCTGCATTTTACAGAAACATAATGGGTTTTTTGCAGTATTTGAGCTAGATATTACTTTTGTTGTCAACTCTATATGGCAATTTATGACATCACCAACTAACATCCATCTAAGAGCTGTAAAAAAGATACTTAGGTAGCTTAAAGGGACTTTACATTATGGCATTGTATACTCTACAGTGGCAGAACCCAACCTTAATAGGTTTTTAGATTCGGATTGGGCCGCAGACTTGAATACAAGAAGGTTTGTAACTGGATACATTGTATTTTTAGGCAGCAATCCCATTTCATGAAAGTCCAAGAAGCAATGTTCTGTTTCTCGAAGCTCTATAGAAGCCGAGTATAAGGCATTGGCTCACACTGTAGCTGATATTGCTTGGATAAGATACATTTTGAAGGACTTAGAGGTGTTTCTTCTTAATTCTCTTGTCGTTCACCGTGGTAATATGTCAGCTATAGCCATAAGTGCCAATCTAGTTTTTCACTCTCGAATTAAACATCTTGATACTAACTATCACTTTGTTCGAGAGTGATTTCAACAAAGGGATTTAAAGAGCAGTTAGCTGACATATTAACTAAAGGGCTTCATGGACCTTCATTTGTTATGCATTGCTACAATCTCAAACTTGGAAATCCAAGCTGAGATTGAGGAGGGATATTGACCAAGAAAGTTAAGATAGTTAAGAGGTTGATGATGTGGCAATTATGTGGCAATTAGTTAATGCTGAAGTGGCAATTAGTTAGAACTGTTGTGGCAATTAGTTAGAGTTGTTAAAACTACTTTCTTAGAGTGTAAGAAAGGCTCTCGGGCTCTATATAATGTGTGTAAGGATTCATAGTAATCATCTTGAGGAATATACGTACAATCTTTCATAAGCTTTCTCTCTCTTTTCAGTTCATACATCTCTCTCTCTCTCTCTCTCTCTCTCTCACAGTTAATCTTCTTCTTGCTTACTTTCTGCATTTCTTCAAAGCTTCTGCAATACTGTTATGAAATACAACAAATAATGTACAAAACTAAAAAAGTAAGCAAAATATAAATATGTAAACCTTTGGACGTACAAAGTAAAGCCAAACTCCGATGCAACACATGCTTGATCTTTGGAAGAAAACCTCTGGGTTTTAGGCTACCAAATGCCACCTCAAGACTTGTTTAATCCCCTGAGCAATAATATTAGATTGTTCCCCATTTCGAAAATTTACAGATAAAGAATGACCTCAACTACAAATTTCCCTTTCTTCGTAGGTTTAATTTCTCCTGTTTGAACCAATGCAAATTTGATCAGAAATGCCTGAACATAAATAGAAGAGATGGTTATGCTGATACTCAAACTCTAAAACAGATTAGGGCATATTTGGTGAGGATAATAATGTAAAATCATACATTCTATTAAATTATAGTAGTATAACTAGGAAAGCATCTCCAATCAAACGGTGGTCAATCATAACCTTTCTTATTTGGGTAGCCTTGTACCCTCTCAAACGGTGGTCAATCATAACCTTTCTTATTTGGGTAGCCTTGTACCCTCACCAGTGTCATGGAAAAATGATATGCCAGGGTATAGTTAGTGAAGAGTCCATATACTGCAGGTTGTAACATGTAATAAGGGCTGGCAACCTCGATAACAGTACATGCAGTTACAGATGACAATTTAATCCGTTAAACCCGATAACCGTGAATAACCGTCCGAATAGAGCGAATTTGGGTATATTATGGATATGGGGAAAAACCGTGATCTTTAATCGGTTATGGTTTTGGATATATATATATATATATATATATATATATATATATATATATATTATTGTATTTGAGTGAAGCTATACCATCATTACCATATTCATTATTCACCGCATAATATATTTAGTATATAATATAATAGTATTTCGCTCAAAAAATATAATAGTATTTGTCACACGCCCCAAAAAGGGGCATGTAACAGTGCAACTCTATCTTTGATGTAAATTTTTTTTTATCTGAATTCCGTTGCCCTTTTAAATCTTTGAATTACCAGAATGATTTTCTGCTTCCGTATTGCTTAAAAATAAATTATTTTATTTTCCTCAAATAGCCTTACGTTCTATTAGAAATGTAGTGCTATAGTGTTGGATTTTAACACTATAGTATTGTGTTACTAATAGAGCGTGACATTGTTATGTGCCCATTTTTGGGACAATTATATTCCTTATTCATCAAACGCTATACTATATTCATTATGCATCAAACATAATGCTTATGGGAGATATCAACATATCACATCATCAATGTTTTATTCAATGCTCTTATTTTTATACTCTACAAAATTCATTTATTGTTATGTTTTATTTTATTTTATTATTAGACGTGACTATTTAATGACGAAATTAGTGTTCAATAAATTATTGTGCACCAATTGGATGAATATAAATTTTTGTTTTTAACGAAGATCGATATAACCGTTAACCAATAGGAAATCTGTTACCCGGTGGATATGGTTATGGATAATCCCATATGGTTAATTTGCGGTTATATATATGGTTAATTTTCGTAGTTATGGGAATGAATATAGCATTTCCGTCACTAAACCGAACCGTTGACATCCCTACATGCAGTTCTATACTTTTGTAACATATAAGAACGGGATACAGTTCCACATCCAAAATTACTGATATCAGGAACTGTACAAGAAGTATCAATATGTCTCATGTATGGTGTTTATACAGCTGACAAGTAATTGGATAAAAAAATAATGGAAATGAATTAATTTATCGATTAATTATAAGTTATTAATTTATCAAGGTATTCCTTATTTTCATAAGTATTGTACATTGTATTTAGTTTCTTGCTTTACAAACTAACAACTCTATGTATTTGTTTAATCAAGTAAAATTCATGAATCTACTTAATGTTCTCAAAAATAGATTGTACATTTTCAAATACTACATTATTCCATTTTATGAACATTTAATACATGGCAGTCGAATCGTTGTGTGATAAAATCAAGCCATATTTTAAACCAACAACTTCATCGTCCACTATAAAGGTACATTGTTAGAGTCTAATAAGTAATGACAAATCCAGCTACCAATTTTTCAGAATAACGAATTGAACCATCAAAGTTTAAATTCCAATTATTTGTTCATTTTGATTCTCGTATGATATTCCTGGTTAACATTCTGTATATTTCCAAAGTTCATATAAAACTACTTCACAACGTTAATTGTCATCATTATCTATAAGTATTTTTTCGGTAGATGATATCAAAAATACTACCACTCATCTTTGACGTTCCGCTTACACTGTCAAAATTTGAAGAATATATTACTATTGATGATGCTATTTGGACATACAAGTTCACATTTTCTTGATATACTCGTTAATAGAGAGAGACCCACATACCATGGTAGAGCTTATATGTACTATAAAAGTGTGTCAACAAGTTTGCTAATTTGTGTGTCATTGTACGATTATATATATATATATATATATATATATATATATATATATATATTAAAACAAACCTTACATCATGATGAAAACAAACAAATAAAAACTGAAAGAGTCATACCATTTGGATACAAAATGAACACTCTCTAATACAGGTGCGTTCCACATACAATGGTAGCATCCACCTCTATTAGAGAGTTTGATAACAAGTGTGTTAATTTTGTGTATCCAAATAGTTTTATTAAAACTGAAAATATATAATGAAACGTACAATCTAGTCCCTAATCATTCTTTTTATCTTGGCTATGCACACTGCCATCTTCACATAGAACGAATCGTGTACTTTATCCAGGAACTGAAAATATGCATACCTCCATGTCTTCTTAAGAGCTAAAGAACCGCAAACTCCCCAAAATCCAACAATGAAACCTAAGACTGCAAAAACATAAAGCCAGTTGAATTACATGCAGTTCTATACTTTTGTAACATATAAGAACGGGATACAGTTCCACATCCAAAATTACTGATATCAGGAACTGTACAAGAAGTATCAATATGTCTCATGTATGGTGTTTATACAGCTGACAAGTAATTGGATAAAAAAATAATGGAAATGAATTAATTTATCGATTAATTATAAGTTATTAATTTATCAAGGTATTCCTTATTTTCATAAGTATTGTACATTGTATTTAGTTTCTTGCTTTACAAACTAACAACTCTATGTATTTGTTTAATCAAGTAAAATTCATGAATCTACTTAATGTTCTCAAAAATAGATTGTACATTTTCAAATACTACATTATTCCATTTTATGAACATTTAATACATGGCAGTCGAATCGTTGTGTGATAAAATCAAGCCATATTTTAAACCAACAACTTCATCGTCCACTATAAAGGTACATTGTTAGAGTCTAATAAGTAATGACAAATCCAGCTACCAATTTTTCAGAATAACGAATTGAACCATCAAAGTTTAAATTCCAATTATTTGTTCATTTTGATTCTCGTATGATATTCCTGGTTAACATTCTGTATATTTCCAAAGTTCATATAAAACTACTTCACAACGTTAATTGTCATCATTATCTATAAGTATTTTTTCGGTAGATGATATCAAAAATACTACCACTCATCTTTGACGTTCCGCTTACACTGTCAAAATTTGAAGAATATATTACTATTGATGATGCTATTTGGACATACAAGTTCACATTTTCTTGATATACTCGTTAATAGAGAGACCCACATACCATGGTAGAGCTTATATGTACTATAAAAGTGTGTCAACAAGTTTGCTAATTTGTGTGTCATTGTACGATTATATATATATATATATATATATATATATATATATATATATATTAAAACAAACCTTACATCATGATGAAAACAAACAAATAAAAACTGAAAGAGTCATACCATTTGGATACAAAATGAACACTCTCTAATACAGGTGCGTTCCACATACAATGGTAGCATCCACCTCTATTAGAGAGTTTGATAACAAGTGTGTTAATTTTGTGTATCCAAATAGTTTTATTAAAACTGAAAATATATAATGAAACGTACAATCTAGTCCCTAATCATTCTTTTTATCTTGGCTATGCACACTGCCATCTTCACATAGAACGAATCGTGTACTTTATCCAGGAACTGAAAATATGCATACCTCCATGTCTTCTTAAGAGCTAAAGAACCGCAAACTCCCCAAAATCCAACAATGAAACCTAAGACTGCAAAAACATAAAGCCAGTTGAATTCATTGTCCACACCTTGGTCAACGTTGTTCTTATTATCCGCATCAATTTTTCTGCACTCATTTAGTGGAGCACCACAAAGTTGAAGGTTTCCCTCAAATGCAGAAGCGTCGAAGCTCTGGAGTTGTGTACCCGTTGGTATTTGTCCTTGGAGATTATTGTATGAGACATCAAATTCTCTCAAGAAATTGAGGCTTGCTATTGAGGAGGGAATTTTTCCGGACAAATGATTCGTGGAGAGGTTCAAAACCTCTAAATACTTTAGGTTAGATATTTGATCTGGAATTTCTCCGGAGAAGTTGTTTTCTTCAAGATACAACTCACGAAGCAGCAACTGGCCGATCTCAGTAGGTATAATGCCACTAATGTTATTGACCGCTAAGTCTATTATTCCTTGATAGTAAGACACTCTACGCGGCACAAAAACTGGATTTTCGATTTTTCCGCCAATGAGGGGAAGTTCAAATTCATAACTGTCTACTTGAGATGCATTCACCATTAACATTGGTAATCTACAAAGTTGCTTTGGAAATTCACCTGAAATCTGATTGTTTGACAGTTCCACACTTAAGAGTTTTGGAAGAGTCCCCAACCAACTTGGAATTGACCCTGTGATTTGATTCATACCCAGATACAACAATTGTAGATTCTTTAAGTTTGATAACCAACCAGGTATTTGACCAGTGAGCCCAGAGTTAGCCAAACTGAAGACACGGAGATTTTGATATCCATGAAAATCAACCATGTCATCATCAGTTGGCAATGTCTCGCGATCAAACGAACCACCAAGGATGAGTGTGCGAAGACTTTTGCAACCCATTAATATCTTAATTGCCCTTGTGAGATTGGTCAACCGTAAATAACCAAGCGAGATGAAGGACAAGGATTTCAATGAAACAATCTCAGGTTGTATTTGTCCTTCTACATAAGGATTATCACTCAACCGAATTGCTTTTAGGGACCTGCATGAGTAAAGGCTTATCGGTAAGATACCAGAAAAATTATTCCTCACTAGGTCGAGTTTAGTAAGATGGTTAAGTGTGGAAAAGTTAAGCATGGAGAGATCTCCTTCCAAGTGGTTGTATCCCAAATGCAGCTCTACGAGGTTTGTGCAATTCATCAAAGATGGGGGCAACTTACCTTCTAAGTTGTTGAAATCAAAATTCATGAATTTCAACTTGGAGAGCTTCCCAAAATTGAGAGGGATCACCCCACTCAAATGATTAAAATAGAGGTCAAGCATTGTGATGTGGGTGAGGTTGGCAATTCTTTCACTAATGGCTCCACTTAGTGAATTGAGAGGTAATACAAGTTCATCAAGTTTGGTAGCGTTATAAATATCTTCCGGAAGTGATCCTGACAAATTATTGTGACCAGCATGAAGAATCTGCAGTTTGGAACACCCCCCGAGCCCACGAGGAAAGTTGCCACTAAATTCATTGGAGGAAAAATCCAATACTCTTATGGAAGGAGAGGATCGAAGACAATTAGATGAAGGGATATACCCAGAGAAGGTGTTGTTGCTAACATTGAAACTAGTCAAATTCCAAGCTCGTTGGAAGAAAGAAGATGGAATTGCACCATGGAAGTGATTACTTGACAAATCTACTGTCTGAATATTTTTGGGTGGTAGAGAAAACGGTATCTCTCCAGAAAGAAGGTTGTAACTCAAATCAAGGATCTCGAGGTGATTCAAGGACGAGAAGAATTTGGTTTCAAGTGTGCCATAAAGTGAATTGTGGGAAAGGTTCAAGTGGGTGAGATGTGTGAGATTTCCAAGTGATGAGACAAACATACCTCCTTTGAGCCCATTGGAAGGTAAGAGCAAATGGGTGATCCAACCCTCCTGATTACAAGTGATGCCATTCCAATGGCAACAATCAACAGAACTACTCCAATTTACGGGAGGGGAAGATAGGGTGCGGGCGAAGGCCATGAGAGAGGTGCGTTCAGTTTGGTTGCTTGCATGAATTTGTTGTAGATATAATGAAAGAGAATAAGAAGATAGGGAGGAAGCCGTGAGCCATTTTTTTTTAACTTGGATATTTCTTGGAGTAGCAGGTCTGCACATATCATATATAGGAGCAACCAAAACGTATGCAGCTATGTATAATTTTTATGTGTGTGTGTGAGCATAAAAGACAGTATTTCATTGCAAACAACCATGACCACACACATTAATGTACATTTTCCAAACCCTTCAATACGTCAGAGAGATTTTCCACAATGAAAATGACCTTGTTATTTTCAGAACAGCAACTCATATATCTTCCATTCCAAACTACCCAACAAACCATAGAAAACAAGTGTCATGGAATGACTTTTGTTGTAGAGATAATGCAAGCTAATAAGAAGACGAAAAGGAAGCCATGAGCCATTTTTTTAACTTGGATATTGCTTATAGTAGTGGGTCTGCATATATAGGAGCAACAAAAAAGCGAAGATATCAGTTGTTCATGACTCATAAGAGAGGTCGCACATGAAAACAACTAAACTCAACTAAAAATTAAAATGTTGTTTTACTACTAGTATTACATTCTAATGATATTTCTTTTTACTTGTAAGTGTAATGTTTTAAATTCGACTTGTGTAAATTGCAAGTCCAATAGGATTCTATTATGTTGGCTCCATTTTAATACTATTTAGTGGCATACACAACATGCAAGAATACAAAAGATTCGTCCCTACATGAATGCATGAACATTACAGAAGATAAGTTACTCATTAAGAAAAATCATCATTTTCAATCTTGAGCACCAAATGAGCATAAAAAATAGCATTTCAAACTCATTAAAAAAAACCATGACCGCACATTAATTTACATTTTCCAAATCCTTCAACACGTCAGAGAGAGATTTCCAAACCCCTCAATACGTCGAAGAGGGATTTGCTCTTAAGATTGTTTTCTTCCATTTCCAACTACCTAACAAGCTGTAGAAAGCAAGTGGAGCTCCTCCCGAGTCAAGCATAAAATTCCACACAATCGTATAAAAGCAATGATGAATGGTTATTAAACAAAAGGGTAATGCTAGGGTGACTAAATTTGGAGACAAAGTTTTGAAAACTTAAGAACATGGAAGGTGATGATTGGTTTATTACTTAAACGTTGATAAACGTGCTTATTCCTATTGATGACACATCATTTAGTTTACAAATTTAGTCTCTAAATTTAATCTCCCTAGCATTACTCTAAACAAAAAAGATATGAGCAAAAAGCAAAGACCTCATTTGGTCAATTTGGGGTCAGACCCTTCAACAACCACGACCGTACATTAATGAACATTTTTCCAAAGCCTTCAACATGTCAAGGAGAAATTTCCAAACCTTCAATACGTCAACAGGGGATTTCAGAACCCTTCACTACGTTAAAGAGAAATTTCAGAACCCTTTTATGACTAAACTACCTTAGTTTTAATTTATTTTTGTAGAGGCGATGTTTACTGAGTGATTTATAATATGAACAACTCTGATCATAAATATCAGTTTTATGAATCATCAATTAACAGTTTTGAGTAGGAACTCCTACTCATCCTTTGAGTAGCCAAGTATTGTTCTTTTTGTTATGAGAGTGATAGCGTTAGTATATTAGATACATAATTGTTAGGGGGGGGGGGAGAAAAATCGGTGGGGAAATCCGCACAAAGGTGCATTGTCATTTTTTTTCTTCAGAGAACCTCGACGGTGCGGGGGATATTTGATTGATAATAAAAAAAGTTACACCTAGTCAGGAGGGACATAAACCTTATCCCTCATAATACCAAGAAAAGGAGAAAAAGAACATAAATAAGAAGGGGGGACATAAACCTTACTAGAAACAAAAACAAAAACGATACAAGGAAAATGGGGGACATGAAACCTAACCCCTCTAAAGCCAAACCTAAAAGGTCTAAAAACCTGCAAAACAAGTCAAACAACCCACCACAAGGTTAGGAAAAAAACAACAAATGAAGACATACCTGCATGGTGAGATGCAGGCAAGCCTACATAGTCTGAAAACAAAGCAGCATGAGCCGGCGGCGGAGGGGAGTCATGCCATACCAAAGTTGGAGAAGACAAGCTCATGTTAGCAAATTTATCTGCAACAACATTTCCTTCGCGATATATGTGAGACGCGTAGAATGTCATATTCCAAGTGCGATCCAGACAAATAGACTGATAGACTCATATTATACATGTTTTTATAACCATAGAACTTGGATTATGTATAGTTTTCATCCTTTTGTAGTAGTTTACTTGTGGTTTTCTTATTTTGTAGGACTAATTGCAAAGAAAGGGATTTTAAGGCTAAGTAGAGGAGTTTTGAGGGCCTAAAAACGTCCATAAACATTCAAGGGAAGATCCCAGGATATCAAAGCGATGCCTAAAACATGGAGGTGACACAATTTGGAAAATCTGGGATATGGGAGTTTCTGTCCAGCAACTTTGATGGGCTGCCATTTATTCATCCAGAAGAACCTCATTGCATACCATATATGGATGAAAAGATATGGAAGTCTTCTTTCAAATGGAGTTGGAATCATGTCAATCCGATAATCCTGCAGTGGATTATGATCGTTTTAGTGACTGCTGTGTGGATTTCCAGGTTCGGTTAACTTTGCATTTTAAGTGATTTGGGCCAAATTTGTGTAGTTCATTTGAGTTGGAGGTTTAAAGCCCAATAAGTAAATTAGTTTGACCAGTGTGATAGAGCAATATGAGCTGCCCTTTTAGGCCCAATAATGCACTTAATCCTCATCAAAATACAAGTGGAGGGTGGAGACGAAAAGCACAAAAAAAAAAGAAAAAAAAAAGAAAAGGAATTGGGGGGTTTGAACCGTTTGGTTTCAAGCGGCTGTTGCTGCAGAGCAGAGGAATAAAAGAGAAAATTTTCACGGTACCTGGTTCTTCAGACAGCTAGCGTACCACCCAATAGACATCTGGCAGAACAGAGAGCATGCGAGCAAGATGAAGGCTATGAAGGACGACACGATGCAGTGCCGTCGATTTTAGGCTGTTGAGGAGGGTGGGGAATTTGATGGACGATATGATCTTGTCGTTGATTTGGCGATGGAGACTCTAAAGATGGCGAAGTTAGGGGATTTTGAGAGTGCACAACCAACGAGATTTGGAATTGACAGTGAAGAAGGCGGTGGAGTTATTAAGTTCAAATCAGACTCTGAATGCCATGGTGCTAGTGGACAATTTCAATTGATAACTTAAATTTATAAGAATGGGGGGGGTTGCAGACGAAGAAGATGAAGTTTCAAAATTTTTAGAATGAGTTTTGATAAAAATAATAAAGAATTAATTAATTTTCAACATAAAAAAAGAAAGAAAAAAAAAAACGAATTTCAGTGAAAAAACGAAAAGCCATGTTGTAGACATGTAAATTTCGTTACATACAAATGATGCATCACAAAGCTCCACATGACATATGACTCATCACAAATAGACAAGTCATCAATGACATGTGGCACAAATCAAGTAAAGGAAGTACAAAACCTTCCCAAAACTCAGCAAAAGGGAGAAAATGTCTCTTAAAATCGGCAAGGGGATCTAAATTGCTCCCTAAACCGGAAAGAAAGCTAAAACATATTCATAAAATAAGCAAGAATTGAAGATTGCTCACAAAATAGGCAAGAAGCCCTATAATTCAGCAAGGATAAGATAGAGTGGCCAAAACAAGACATAAAACATGTCTAGATTCTCTCGTGGACGAATCAAGACACAAATCAAAGCCAAATCCATCCAAAGGCAAGATTTGAGAAGTCTATAAATACAAGGTCCCAAGACAAACAAAGGGGCGGAAATTCTTGAGATCCAGAGGAACCTCTGCAACAAATCTTTGAAGACTAATACACTGCCAAAGCTCTCTTCGAAGAAAGCACAACCAAAGCCGAAGCATTCCCTTAAAGAATTAACAAGCACTTGTGCCGATTCTTTCAAGACTTTGTTGCGAGCTCAAAACTTGTAACGACGTTCGATTCAAGATCAAGTCGCCAAGGCCCTTGAATCAACAAAATCCCACATCAACATCACCTTTGCCGCAGGTTACACACAAACCTTGAGGTAAAGACTATCCACCTGTTGTTTCAAGCTCAAAACTTGAAGCAATGGTTCAACAGTTCGTCCGAGATCAAGTCATCGCTACCCTTGAATCAACAATCTACCCCATCAACATCAAATTTGAAGATTAAATAAGCGGAAACTTGTAAACAGAGATTGTAACCCTACAAATTCATTAATACAAATCTATTTTGTACATAGTTCTTGTTTCATTTGCTACAGAATTTTCGTCTTTACAAATTTGGCACACCTGGTAGGACATCTTTGCCTTTCATCTCCGCCTTCAAATTCGCAAGAAACACAAATGGCATCAAGAAAGGATCAAGTTGTTCCCGCTACCAACTCGAAGAACAAGAACATCCTCGCCGCAAGTGGTGGCACTTTGGGCGTCATAACCCGAAGCAAGGCAAGAGCTCTCTTTTCCATGCCCTCCACCCCTACATCGAACCTGCCAAAGGAGCAAAAGTACCCAAGGCATGAACATGTGATCACCTTGGCCTTGCCAAGGGCAACTAGGCACGAAACAATGCTCGAAGAAAGCCCGATGAGGTATTCCGAGTCTTTGACCTCCGATGCCAACTCAAGCAGCAACTCATATCCTATAGCCATGCAAGTCATGACTACTGGCGCGACTTCAATCGAGGAGCACAATTGTCACAGATGAACGAAGCAATTGAACGACTAACAAGGATTGTGGAAGAAAATGACTTAAAAATTGCCACACTTGTCAACCGTTTGGAGGCGCAGCACGACGCGAATTCGTGTGTTCGTGCGTTCACTGAAAGGTAACGTCTTTGACTGGTATACCGACCTCGAGCCCGAGTCCATCAATAGCTGGGATCAACTTGAAAGGGAATTCCTTAACCGCTTCTACAGCACTCGCGGCACTGT